AGAGTGTGGTAAAAATATCCATTTTGCAAAAAAGAGAAACTTCACCTGAAAACTGCTTTTCAAGTATCGATAAACAAAATAATTGGATTTTTATTAATGAGAGAAAATATGTGTTAGCAGATTTCTTTTTTTAAAAAAAAAGGAGTATATGCAGTTTGAAGAAGAGGACTTGCTAGAAGCACAAATAATCCTTTCACAGTCTTTTTGATACACACACTCATACAAAAAAATAGTAAATGAACAAAAACTGTTGAACAGAACAGCACTGATGTCAAGGAGAATCTGAATCCCAGGAGGATGTAGTAGATGCAATAAAATGATTGAAAATATATGTTTATAAATAGCATCAACTGTTTCAGTTTCTGCCTTCCTTGGTGAAGTCGGCTGAAATGGAAGTGATAAACAATATCCACTTTCCAAAATTGAGGCATGAATTCAGAGGATGGTGGCAAGAGTGGGTTTGTCCTCTAAATTAAGGCCGTATCAGGCTGTCACATCTACCAGTTTTCTTTCTTCTCAATCATGGGTTTTCTCTTCTGAAAATAACAGCCATGTGGGACAGATTTTTTTTTCAACAGTTTGCTATAACACATTTATTTATTTATCACGTCAGAAGCAAGTTAAGGTTATAGTTAAAATGCATTTAAAAATACAAAGTTTAAAAAACTTGGCAATATGCTATATGTCCTTTGACCAGAAGCCGGCCATTTGGAGTGCCTCTGGTGTCGCTGAGAGAAGGTCCTCCATTGTGCATGTGGCAGGGCTCACACTGCATTGTAGTAGGTGATCTCTGGTTTGTTCTTCTCCACACTCGCATGTCGTGGACTCCACTTTGTAGCCCCATTTCTTAAGGTTAGCTCTGCATCTCAGGGTGTCAGAGCACAGCCTGTTCAGCACCTCCAACTTTTTGATAATATTTTATTATAAGAATAACAACTTTAATTTTGTACCCCACCTCCATCTCCCCGAAGGGACTCGGGGCGGCTTCCATGGGGACAAGTGCAGTCAACATAGTTAAAATAAACACATTAAAATAGATAAACAATTGCATAAAACAAAAAAACACATCATCATTATAAGAAAATATAAAAACAACCATCGAACCTACAGCCTTAAATAATATATAGTTTTGGACATATATTATGTCCAAAACTATATATTATTTAAGGACTGGTGGACTGGTGCAAATCAATTGTAAGGATAGGCCTGATGGATATAGTGCGCAAGTCAATTACCGATATTAGGGATAGAGGGCAATATAAAGTAGAGCATTATGTCTTTGGATAATGAGCAGTAGTAAAGTGCAGGACCAAAATTTTGGGTCATTGCTGGTGCTAAAATTGTCTGAGGAATTGTCTAATCCAAAGCACAGTGGCCACATTTTTACCTCTTTGTGGAAGATGGAGAGGGTGGGTGCTATAGCCTAATCTCTCTGGGGAGGCCACCACCGAGAAGGCCCCCTCTCTCTTTTATGGTTCCTGTCTCTTGTACAAAGGTGGTGCTTTCCTCCCACATACTGTATATGGCATCTAAGATGCTGGCATTCAATCACCTACATGACCTTGGTGGAATTGCATGTCAAGTTTAGTTTAAAGTGATAAATTTTGTTGGTGCTCTTTTTAAAAAGTTGTTTCGTGGAGATAGGCGTAAGCAATGCACTGCTGAGATGCACAGTGATATGAGCCAGGATTTTCAGTTAGTATTTTTATTTCAGCTCCCGCCAGGAACTTCTTTGGGGTATGTGGCTGATGGAAAGGATCACTATGAAGTCTTATTAATAGCTGTAGCAAGATGTGATGAATTGTATATATAGATGTACTGCATCTTAGAATTTGCCTTTATTTTTTCTATCTGGGAAGCCTAATGGGCAGGCATATGGTTCACGGATGATGTTTGAGCCCAGATTTTAGACAGTACTCTTTGGGTTAAAAACAAAGCCCAATTGCCCAAAAATGGAAGCTATGAAACAGAATGAAAATGTCTTCTGGCCTTGCGTTTCTTTGTGTGCCAGATGGCTGCTGATCGGCCTTTCCTCATGTCATGATTGTAATTTTATTTACTGTCTTGGCTTCCCATATCCACATTCGTCCTTCTTTGCTTAACAAGCGAGCAGAGCACAGTGGTGTATGTGGGGATGAGAGAGAAAACGTTTGACATTTGGAGCTCTCTGGGGGTTCATTTCACATACAGCCCTTGTGAATATTGATAGGTAGGTAAGGGCACAGGCAGGAAAACGGACTGCAAATGGAAAGGTTAAGCGCATGAATTGATCTATAGCATAGACAGTCACTTCAGGCAAGCCACTCTTTCCTGCTTTTGCAAAAGGCCATGGTAAAAATCATGCACGCTTTTACATATTTACTAGTTGGAAAAGAGACATTTGGTTAGGTTGGCTTTAAAAGGATATCAGTTGTGTCAGTGGATTAAGTGAGGACATGAACGAAGATGTCCTAGCTAAAATTGTGAAAAAAAGGTCTGTGTCTACGTGAAGATGAAATTGGTTGAAGACAGTCCTGAAGACTAGTTGCCTTTAGCTCTCTGTCTATCCACACTTTGTCTCCCTTTTCTCTTGCCACATTGCCTGGAGGCAAATACTGTTGTTAATAAGAATTTGTATTTCAGTCTCACTCTAGACCACCTTGATATGTGTTGTCCATAAAGCTTTCTTAGTCCGATTTATAGAGTTGGGCTTGTATGTTGCTAAGAACCACTTCTCCAAAGTTTAATTAGTATAACCAGTTGAAAAAATTATTTCTCAAGCTTTCTCCTTTTTGCCTTTGTACATCTTGGGATTCTATGCTTATTTGCCTTTAATGTCTCTTCAAAAGATGTAGATAGGTCATTTTCACATTTTCACAAAGGGGGCTCACCAGAAACAAACTCATACCAAGGCCTCCATAGTTTATACTGATTTCTTGTAGCCCTGAAAACCCCATTTAAGAGCTAGTCTAACAAGCCTTAATTGGCTTAAACTGTATGTAATAACTTTCCTATCAAACACTGTGACAATTAAGACCAAGGGACAGTTCTCTTTTTGAGACTAGGCATAATGGTGAGTGGAAAAGGGGCATTATTTTTATGGTTTCCAGCAGGACCTATACATAGCTGTGTTTTTTATTAGCCAGCAGAAGGCAGACCTGTGGAAAATCATGATAATTCTAGATTCATTATGCGGTATATCCCTTTGCTCTCTGTTTCTTTAGTGCATTTTTATGATTAACGGTGTTTTCATATGCAGCCAGATGCTCATATGCGAGCAAAAGGAGCCTTTGGGTTTTGAGATGATGCATCAAACTGTGCCATTTCAAACTGTGGATACCATTTTGAACGTTCACAAACCTGCAGCAGTAACAGTATTGATCCCTTCTAGTAGTACATTCAGAACAGTTTCTTGACCAGTCCCCTTTGTTTCTACAACAGATGTATTTGTGTATACAAATATAAAGGTTTTTTGACTGGAATGATAAAAAAGTGAAATCTATGTCATCTATATATACTTCTCCTAGCTGGCATTCTGTTGGTTATTCCCAACTGGAGTCAACCCATTCAGCCTGTTCTTGATGAGGTTTTTTTCCAAGACAGAAGCGACTTGAGAAACTGCAAGTCTCTTCTGGTATGAGACAATTGGCTGTCTGCAAGGACGTTGCCCAGGGAACGCCTGGATGTTTTACCATCCTGTGGGAGGCTTCTCTCATATCCCGCATGAGAAGCTGGAGCTAACAGTCGAGAGCTCACCCTGCTCCCTGGATTCGAACCACTGACCTTTCAGTCAGCAGTCCTGCTGGCACAAGGGTTTAACCCATTGTGCTGCCGGGAACTCCTGAGTCATCATGTAGCTGAATCTAAATAATGCAACGGATATACTATAGTCAACATTAAAAAAGGAATTAGGCCAGTTTATCTCTAGATAAAATTCTATGTGGTGTTAATAAGGTCGATCGGTGAGTAGCCATCTGTTAATACTGACAGAGGCCCCTTCTTCACTGCCATATAATCCAAATCATCAAAGCAAATAATCCACATCTGCTTCAGACTGGATTGTATGAGTCTACACTGCCATATAATGAAGTTCAAAGCAGATAAAGTGGATTTTATATGGCAGTGTAGAAGGGGCCTGAATGGTGAGATCTTATTATACCAACTTCAAATGCTCCTTGAATGAGTTGAGACATGTTCCTTGTGGCTGAATCCTTTTGTGAAGTGAAACTATGGTGGTTGAGTATGATGTGCTTCCTTATCATTCGTTCTCTATCGTCTTTTACATTGGTTGTTTGTATTCAGATTTCAGGAAACCAATGTGGATTTCTTTCTTGTGCTCCTTCTATTTTTATCAGTTTTTAACTAATTTATGCAATGCTTTTAATAGAAAATAAATAAAATCTTGTAGGCAACTGGTTTTTTTATATTAGAAGGTTTTAATTTGAACTGATGTATTGCATTGGTTTGGGTTTTGGATTATTATTTTGGAGAACCAGGTTTAAATCCTTCCTCAGCTGTGGAAACCCACAGTGTGGTTTTGGGAAGGTCATCCACCCCTAAATGAATCTTGTCAAGAGAATCCCTGGTTTGCCTTCTATCAGAGTTGATTTGAAGGCATATGATAACAACATGTTTTTATCAGAGCTAGAGGAAAAATACTTCCTGCATTTCAGTCCTCAGAATCCCTTCGCTATTATGGCAGTGGTTCTCAACCTGTGGGTCCCCAGATGTTTTGGTCTTCAACTCCCAGAAATCCTAACAGCTGGTAAACTGACTGGGAGTTGTAGGCCAAATCACCTGGGGACCCACAGGTTGAGAACCACTGTATTGTGGCCATTTGCCATTCTGGTTGGGGATTCTGGAAATGGTAATCCAGAAAGGGTTCCAGCTTGATTGGAGATGATTATGCAACATACTATCACAGTGGATATGGAGTTGTTCTGCAAAATCATAAGGCCATGTTAGCATTCTAGTACAGGACTGATATATGGTAATATATTTTGTTTCCTATTCTTTTGAAGGGTTTGAAGAACCTGGCCCGAGTTAAGCTGAATATAGTAAGATGTCCTCCAGTGACTACTGTCCTCATCAGAAGACCAGATCTCAGATACCAGTTGGGCTTCAGTGTACAGAACGGCATTGTAAGTCACATGTGGAATCCTTAACAATGCATTACATCCTGTGGCTCTTTAAGGAAGAAAAAAGGGAAATAGTTAATTTCAAAGCACCTAGCTTCTGTATTCAAAGAGTCATAGACAGAGCAGCAGACCAAAACAACACTAAAGATCTCTTAGTCACTCTGAGGAATAAGAAATTGGGGATTACAGTGAAGCTATACAGGTGATATATTAATTACTTGAAGTTACTGAAGCATTGCGGTGCCAAATGAGTTATGCAGAATGTGGGGGAAGGACATTTCTGTGCTGAAGCTAGAATCTGCCATGCCCTTGAATTCTAAATGTGTGAGGCTATTCTTGTTCACTGGTTAAGACATGGAATCTGAAGATGTCAGGTTACTGCTAGGGATATGGCAAATGCAATCCCCAATATTGAAAATAGATTGCATTATTTCCTGCGATGAACTGTGAACAAAATCTGCACGTCCTTTCTCCTAAGCACAAAAAATATGGGATTCTAGGATTTGATAAATCCAGTCGTATTCAATACCTTAGAAGGTGAAATATGGTTGCACAACAGTTGTTTGAATTGCCTTTTGGATCCCCATTGCTTCTGACTTACATTATGCAGAGCAGATGTTAACACTTTCACACCTTTTAAAATACCAGCACTTCCCATCTCAGACATGGGATGAGTCACGCCTCAGGAGAAAAAGCTGATGCTATGTTCATCTGTGCCAAAACGGAGCAAGCATTTATGTTTGTCTTTGCACGTCAATTCCCTTTATTATGCATCTACACTGTGATTGAATTTAAATAGGAGTTTTCCTAGGGACTATGATTTGAAACAGGTTTTGTTTACAGCCAAGAGTATTTCAGATGTGCAGAGATGACTTATCCTGTGCTTCATTGTGGCTGCTGTTGTGTTTGTGCAATGGAAGAACAGCCTGCCCATCTTGCTACAAGGATGAGGCAAGGTATCAGGCTGTTGCTCGGTGCCGACCCCTGCTTGGATGTCCTCTCATGTGATCTTGCTTCCTCATTGAGAAGAGAGAAAAATCCCATGAGTGATTTGCACTCTACTTTGCAACATCAAGCATAGTGTGAACATCAGAACTTGGAAAACTTATTTTTGGACACCACAGGCAGCATTGCCGCTCACTCCGTGTCATCTCCATGTTGAAAAGAAAGTAAATGTACTACACCTGACATGTATTCACCAGAGATCTACAATCTTGTTTGAATGTGTGGACAGGCTGCCTACCTGCAACCAAGATCATCTGTGCTCTCACACAAATAGGTTTTTGCTCCAGTACAGGTACTCCATCAGAATGTTGCGTAGCTGAATAGCTTGGCAGGAATCTGACAACCCTCTATCTATCATGTATGTCCAAACTTACTAAAGCTACTGTACCCTCCATTTTGAAATGTAACAGGGATTTGAAACAGAGGGGAGGTAGGGCGGGTTTGTATGAGAGTGCAAATGACCACTCAAATAATCTCTATGAGAGGTAAGCAACCAGTTATTTCATTGTCTCTGTGCTTCACATTAATGGGAAATTATGAAGCTTATTAAGGATTGTGAGCAGCTCACTGGATAATAGCAGAAAGAACAGCACAGTCAAATTGGACAGCTTTGTTGACTAGTACATAGTGTTGAATAAGTGGAAACGTCTGAGACCACATTCCAGTTTTACAACATTCAAATGTGGATACACAATGGAATAGTGCCACAGAGGAAGCCACAACTTTAGTAGAATACCCTAAAATCAACTGTTTGGGGAAATCATAGAAAAGCCATGTAGCCTCTACCAGCCACTTTGGGAGCCATTGTGTGGCTATCTCTCTCCTGAGCCCGCCATAACATAGTCGGTTTGAATGAGGAAAATTAGCTATATATTTATTGAAAAGTTAGATACAGAACAAACTAAAGAGTTGAGCTACTTATATAAAAGTGATGATGGCTGTGGATAGAAGGTAGATAGTACAATGTTCCGATTAAACAGGAACTGAGAGGTCACATAAGGGAGGAAAATAACACCCAGGCAGAGGAGAACCTTGTTGCAGTGAAAAGAAGGAAAGGTTCATTGTATGAAGAGCTGCAAACTCACTTGCTAGCGTCGAAGGCTTTCATGGCTGGAATCACTAGGTTGTTGTAGGTTTTTTGGGCTATGTGGCCATGTTCTAGAAGCATTCTCTCCTGACATTTCGCCTGCATCTGTGACAAGCATCCTCAGAGGTTGTGAGGATTCTTGCCACAGATGCAAGCGAAACATCAGGAGAGAATGCTTCTAGAACATGGCTATACAGCCTGAAAAACCTACAGCTCGCTTACTAGCCTTGCAGAAGTGATCACAATAAGAAAGATCACGTTTAGGGCATGGGGACACTCATCTATACATGCAAATGGTTTGAAACTCTTGTGCATTAACTGTGATGGAACCAACAACAGAGATGAGAGATGGATTTGGAGATGAAATTGATGGGTGGGCCCTTGAGGATCCTCTTCATCACAGATTGAGAGTATAGTAGTGGAAGACGGAGGCATGGGTTGAAGAGTTATAATTCCAGCTAATTTTTCCCCACAAAATGGAAAAGTGGGGAGCTACTCAACCACATGAAAACACTCCAAGAAGCCGCTCTCTTGGCAAATTCAAGCTGAAGGGACAGTAGCTCTGGCAGATTAGGATATGTCAAGTAGATGAGGGGATGGGATTATCGCCAAGCTACCCAACTCTGGAACATTCTGTGCAGGTGCCTAGAGACCATGAAGCTGAGTTTCCTCCATGTAATATGTCCTGAAGTGATGCCAGCACTGCCTGTTAATTCATAATAGTGATTCTATTCAAGCACATGTCCCTATAATGTGCAGCTATTTAATTATTGTGATATATTATGCAAGTGTGAGCTCATTCTTGGTGTACCTCATAGTTTTAGAATCTGTAGGCCACTAGGTAACTGTCACCCTGCACCATTGACCATATTGACAAGGGATTGATGCACAGTGGGGCGGGGGAAAACACAAGTTCCCAACCCTGATCTAATTGAAGCATCTACCATTGCACAGTTTTATTGCCTAGCATTGTGTGTTATCGCTGCTTGATGTCTTTCCAGATCTGTAGCCTTATGAGAGGAGGGATCGCAGAACGAGGAGGAGTACGAGTGGGGCACCGGATTATTGAAATAAACGGGCAAAGTGTTGTAGCAACACCTCATGAAAAGATTGTTCACATTCTCTCAAATGCTGTTGGTGAGGTAGGAACTAGCAACTCTCAACTTGATTCTTAGGAAATGATGGCTTTATTGCATTCTTATTGCCACCAAATGGGGGAAGAAGGCAAATGCAGGCAAGCAGGTGACTGTTCATTATAGTGCGTAGCTTTAGAGTGCTTTTTGCTGAGACTGGAGCCTCCTTGTGAAAGGTGCTGAATGGCCATGCTCTAGATATGTACAAGCATTGGTCAACATTTGTATCTTGCCTTTCCTACAGGCAGCTCAGGACTTATCCGCATACCCAAGTCAAGAGGTAAGCTGAGCATAAGAAATAATGGCCAGAATCCTGTTGGTAACATATACTGGTGTAACTTTTTGTTATTCCAGCATAATACTTTCCCATCATTGTGGAAGGAGGTATCCAGTACATCCTTGCGCAAAAACATATACATGCAACCCTAGCTTTATAGTGTTCAGGAACACCACCATGGCCAGTCGTGGAGCCAGAGGGAAAGCACTCCCAGGCATCACTTGGTTGTGGTTTTGCATCTGTGGGAAAAAGAACCATCATCCTCATAGCCCTACATACAGTAAGAATGCCAGAGATGTAGGAAGTGGATGACTCACACTTTTTTCCTGGATATGAAACAGAAGCCCCTTACTCTCCAGGCACTGACTGGCCCTACATAGTAGTGTTGCACTGGGGACAGAGGTATACTACCAGAGCTTTATGCTCTGGCAGCATTGTACACAATCTCTACTAGTTACCCAGTGAAATTTCCCATGGACAGTGATTGGAATTCAGATCTCCTCAGTCCAATAGTGTATTTTCCATACCAAGTACAGGGTTAGTCAAAATGAATAGGCCAATAAGAAAATTAATTTTAGACGAATGTATGTTTACTGTAACCAAACCACAGCTACGTAGCGACAGATAAACTATCAAAGTTTTGTCTCACCTTCAGAGATGTTCGATATGGGCGCCCCGTGTGACACGGCAGATGTCCAAGCGATAGTCCAGTTCATTCCACATCCGTTGCAGCACATCCCCCCCCCCCCGCACCATAATACCGCCACGGCAGATGTCCAAGCGATAGTCCAGTTCATTCCACATCCGTTGCAGCACATCCGATGTAATGGCATCGAATGCAGCAACGTCTGGGAAGGTGTTCGTTGAGGTCCTAACCCTAACCCTAACCCTAACCCTATCCCTAACCCTAACCCTAACCCTAACCCTAACCCTTGAAATTCTCACTGGACCGTAATTACTGACATGTTTTAGCAAATGTCATCACACAAAACGCCTTCTCTTTGCTTGATTCCGCCATTTTGAAAACAGCGACCCCTAGCGACGCCTAGCGGCATTAACGTACATGTGTGTTGCTCAAAAAAAACTTTGATAGTTTATCTGTCGCTACGTAGCTGTAGTTTGGTTACAGTAAACATACATTCGTCTAAAATTAATTTTCTTATTGGCCTATTCATTTTGACTAACCCTGTATATTAAACTGGACTACAAAGCCCCAGCTAAGGTGGTTCAAACTATTCCTGCCACGCCATCACTATCACCTGCATCAGTTCCTTTTTTCATTATTGTATAAGGATTTCTTTTTATTCATGGAGAGAAGTACATACTGCAAGTATAAGGAAGAAGGGCCAGGGAGAGGGGGAATGAATGATCAAAGATAAACAAAAACTCATCCCATGTTAAGGATTGCACTCAAGTGTAGTCCCAGGTCCCTAAAGGCTGACATAAGTGTACACACCATGTTGACTCCCATTTGGTGGATCTGTTAACAAATCTGTGCAGCTTGGTTAACTCGAGTTCAGTCCTGCTGAATGTGACAGTCTTTGCACAGATGTGGAAATATTCATGTCAGTTGATGCACCCTTATGATACTTTTGTAGAAAATCCTCCTTTATAGACCTGGGGCAATTGGCAACTGAGCTGAGTTCATGTGGGTGAAACTCTGCTCATGAGACATTCCTACTGGAGGAAGTTCTTTATGACAAAAACAATTTCTTGTGCCCTTCAATTCCCTGTAGAGTCCTTTCTATGAATCACTGAGCCATTTCATCCACTCTAGCAGGTTGTACATTTGGCAGGAGAGTGTTTCCTTGTCCCTGTTTTAAACTAATGTGTATACAGGTTTAACATGAGGAGGTTTCAAGGTGTGGCTGCCCATTGTGTGCTGAGCTATTACAGTATAGGTCAGTTGCAACTTGGGATTTCTCTTGATTTCTTCATGCTTTCAAGTCCTTTTTGTCTCCTTTGTTTGAATACTGTGTGCTAGAGGGAAATGGGGTTATGTGTGTGTTGGGTTAAAATATCGGTGATGGGGTTGGTATGTTATATGGCAGTTAGAAATGCGTTACCTAGAGCAGTGGTTCTCAACCTGTGGGTCCCCAGGTGTTTTGGTCTACAGCTCCCACAAATTCCAGCCAGCTTACCAGCTGTTAGGATTTCTGGGAATTGAAGGCCAAAACATCTGGGGACCCACAGGTTGAGAACCACTAACCTAGAGTTACTATTAGGGATTCACAAGTCTCTGCATGCATGGGCTCTAGTTTAGGGGCAGTGTAGGGACCATGAAAGTCTACCACCACCCACTTGTTGGGTAGAAGCTGCTGTTATCAGTGAGGATCTGTTATCCTGTTGATTTGGGAATAGCTGCCTGGTGTTCCTCCTCACTAGGGATCTGCAGTGCCAAGAAGAGTTTTACAAGGATCTACTTCTCTGTCGCAGTGGAGATCACTTATGGAAGGGAGTGGAAATGGAAATGGAAATCAGCTCCTTCCCAAGTAACAGGGGAACAGATCCTTGTTGAATACAGCAGCTGCTTCCCCATAAGTGGGGTTAGGGATGCTGAGTCAGAATTCAATGTGTAGCACTGTAATAACTGTGCTTATACATTCATACTTCCTATACAGGATTCTGGCTTGGTTTATGTTCTGTTGGTTTTTTTAACCCTGTAGCAAACTTGGGTTTTCTTAAATATTTTACATGTATTAGTAGGCTCTTGCAGCAGCATTTGTGTCATGCAGTGTTTCATATTTGCCATGCTTCCACATTGGGCACTTAAAGCATAGCACTCTATAGGCTGTTCTGTCTCTCCAAGACAAGTTTCGAACCCCAGAGAAGTTGCCATGATCATTTATTGGCTGGGGAGAAAGGAAGCAAATAGGCAGCAGTATTCATTCTGAAGGAAGAGAGATGAGGTTGCTCTCTTGAACCCCCAACAACTCATTTAACAGCCAGGATAGCAACTTAATCCCTCTGCGGAACTCTATCTGGATCAAGTGTTGCCTGATTATCTCTCCTGTTCACACACCTCCAAACACGAAATGGTGATGGCAGCAACCCAGGAGTTGGAAATCTGTCTTGGTGTTGGTTGGATGTCAACCTTCTTGAATATCTCCTTGCATAATGTCCCCACAAAAAGACATGCATGCATGTGCGTAACCTGGAGTTATGCATGTGTATACGTCACCAACAGGATTTCAACCATTGTTTATCTTTTGCTGCTATATTTGTTTTTTCTATATTGTCAGCCATTTTTATTCCCTTTTTGGTGGGAAAACGGGGCACAGCTAGCAGGTGGAGAAGGTGCTCTATTTGTGGAAAGGCAGGACATTTTTTTGTGGGTATTTTGCAAATCCCATCAGGGAAGCCCTGATTTGAGTCTTCTTTCCTTCTTCCAGATTCACATGAAGACCATGCCTGCTGCCATGTACAGACTCTTGACTGCACAGGAACAGCCAGTTTACATCTAAAGCTCACGCAGCTGTGCATGGACATTTCTCTCCTCATAAATTGTGGTATTTTCGTGTGCTGCGTTTTGGTGTCTGCAGCAACGTTTCTCTTGCTCTTTTTTCTTACCTTTTCTCATTCTGCTGGGTACAAGATGACATTTTGGTTGCACCTTTTTACTACTAAAGTTTATGTCATTCTTCACAGAACTAAAAATAACTAAGATTTAACACACACACGTATACACACACACTTGTTTGAACAAGATCATGCTTATACGCTTCTGTGTCAGTTAAGAGAAAAACACAAGTATGCTGAATGAACATACATTTAGGAAAAATGATAAAATAACAGTCTTCTATTGTGTGAATAAATAGGATATTGCCAGGTTTGTCTTAAGTTGAGAGAGCTAAAAGAAGCCAATGTATGTATAAAGAAGGCAATCCAATGCTAATTCATATTTTATGTGAGCTCTGCTCCCCTAATATTGTTCAGCACCAATCTTTTGGGAGCGTGTTTGTGAAAAGGTTTTGTTCATTTTGTGCAGAAAAACTTCTATAACTAAAAATGTCTATAAGAGATGTGCTTTTGGGATTTTGCTCCTTGGGATCTAAATGTTTCCTTTCTCTTTCCCCAAGCCCTTTATATTTGAGTGCAGCATGCTTTTTTGCAACTGGCTTTTCTATTCCCTCGTTTCTTTCTAAAGATGAGTGACAAACTTGAAAATATTGAACAGAAAAATCTGGGGGGTGGGAAGGGAATGCAGTCAGATCTTAACTTCGTTTTTTAAAAATGTTACGTGTGTATGTATGTGTATGTGACACATTTGAAAACTGTATGCTTGATATTCATTATTTTTTACAAGTCTGCCTACAGTTCTGAGTTGTTCTGTTATTCTGAGCCAGTTTACTTATAACATATCTTTGGTCGAAAATTTTGTATTTAATTTTTTAAGGCAGTTTTCTCTTTAATTTTGGACCATGTTAGAATAGTGGAAGGTATAAATTTAATTTATTTTGTAATATACAAATATATATATATAAATATATATATATATACAAATATATGTAAAGTTATTCCCACAACGGGATGTTAAGAGAGTAGATTCACTTACTGCAGGTATTTGTGCAATGAAAGAGTATTCCAAAACATTTTGGTTACGGCATTTAAAATCTAGGAGGTCAGTTGACTGTAATATTTGTAGTAAAATTATTTGGCAAAAACACACAAAGTATAGGTCCTGTGGCACCTTAAACACTTATACTTTTATTATGGCATAACCTTTTGAGGTTTTGGCTCATAAGAGATTCTCTCACAACACACGTCTTGATCTTTAAGGTGTCTAAAATATTTTTTTGGTTGGTTTTGCCATGACAAACCAACACAGCCACCCTTCTGGAATCTGTCTAATATTTGTGTGTGGGGTAGGAAATGGAATAATCAGGGCAACAGGTTTAGCAGGGGTAGGGGTTGGGTGTTTGCATGTTGCATGGCTGTGCATTGTGCACACATGTTGCATAGATGTGTAATGGCATACTCCTGGGGATTCAGTGCCCTGCATGGGTGTTAGATGTGAATGCATGTGGATCCCACTCCTTAAAGCAAACACAGAAGCTCTGGGAGGCAAGAAACTAGCATTGTAATACAAGCAAACTGTGTTGGAGGAGGGCATGAGATTGTAGGATCCTGACCCCATAAGGCACTGCCAGAAGTGATTTTGCAATATATTAAATAGTGATAGGACAGGAGTGTCAATTCCCTTTCTTCATTCACAAAAGACTTGTATACACCGTCACATTATATTATCTATCAAATAGTTTTAGAAGAGAAATATTCAGTAGGGAAAAAAAAACAATACAGGACATCTCAAACAATTTGCAATCCAGTCCTTAGGCGCTCCAAACCACATTGAAAACAGTGGTTTGGATGTGCAAAGGATTGGACTATACATGTTCATATGTGTCTCTTAAGTTTGGATTCACTGAAGTATTTGGTTTTGCTGAAGTGCAGTAGGCATGGACCTAATCAACAAGCAAACCACTAGGAGTTCTGCAGAAGAGGAGGCCATATATATAGGCCTAAATGCTACATCGTGCTAGGAGAGTTTGCCAGTGTCCTTATGGGAAGTGGTGGACTTAGCTTCTGTGATAGACAACATCAGAGGGCTATTGGGTGCACCTCCATCTCACAGCCACTGGTCAGCTGTGGCCTTGGCCAAATCCAGTTGTGCTTGTGCAAAAAGGTAAGAAGGAGCAGTCTCCACTCCCTTGATGCCTCTCTACAGCCAATCCATGGCTGGAAAGACAACTATGCCTGGGATCCTTCTGGCTATTTGCTGCACACTGGGATAGGTTAGGCCTGCAGAAGACAGAATTGGCTATTTCTACAGATCCAGATAATTACAAAACTGGCCATTATGCCCATGTATGCCATCTACTGGAGGCCAGCAAGGCTCCATATTTTTTTTCCAAAGCGAAAGAAAACACATTTAGAATACTTTCAGCACCTGGATTTGTGGAGATTTTAAGTTCAGCACTTATTCACATTAGCTACTTGATGCACAGATGTGCAGTGATAGCAAAAGGAACAAAAAACTGATTTCGTACTGCACCTGCCCTGCCTCAGGCAAGGTTCTCAAGGTGTTAACAAATGGCTTTAAAGTGTTACGTGTCTGTCTCATTTCTAGCTAGACTGAGGCCAGTAGTCCCTTTGGGATCTCTTTAGCTTAGGGGAGTTTTGAGAGCTGTTATCTGATCCTAGGTTAGTATTAATAGTCTGCTCCTAATCTGCGGTTCTTGACTGATTGGAGAGTTTATCATGATTGTCGCCTCTTTCACAAAAGACCACATAAATAACTCACCTGTCTTCCCATACTTGTGTAAGATTCAGTGTAGATATTATATGTACTATATGTAATACATACAACACACAGTGCAATATATTCCACCATTTCTTCCTAAAAGCCGCAACTAATCCCACAGCTCTTTTCCTCTCTCTTTCTTCCTATTTTTATTCATTCCACTTTTGTTCACACAATCAAGGGCATCCTTCTTGCTTTCCATGCACGCTTTTTTGTGTGCAACTAGCAAAAGCAGAGTAGCTTTTCCACCAATGGCCTCAAAGTAGAATTGAGTATTTCAAAATCTGGAATAGTTTTATTTCTATTTCAGATTTGTCTAAGAGGCTTCATTTCAGGCACACCATGATAACAGGATACAAGAGAGCATTCGCGAGATAGGAATTTTAAAAAACTAACCAATACTTACAGAAACTCCAACAGCATATTCTGAACCTGAATCATCATTAGTTAGGTTCGTGTATTTATTTGTGGGAGAAACTCCATCGGTGTCTTAACCTCTCCTGGTTTGTCCTGCTTGCTTGAAAACAGTGCAAGGCCACCTTATATGTGTTACAATTGTAGCCCTTCCTTGGCATGCACACCTTTGGCCACAATTGAAGAGGAAGGGACAGCCAACAGGAATAAGTTTGTGCTAATTCCAGACTTTGGACCATGGTTTACAGCCTGAACTACAGCTTCTCCAAGTTCTGGTTGGTTTTCGTGGTTGTAAAGATTGGAAAAACTGCTGGCACAAACCCAGAAAGCATGGCAATATTTGTGTGCCCAAATCATACAAACATTTCTCTGTATGTTGACAGTGGCTGCTTGCACTAGGGGTGATCTTTCTTGTGAATGGATTTCCAGAGTAGACTTGATTTTGTATATCCAGCTCTAGACTTCCCAACGACAAAGAAGGAAATTGGGTAATAATACAAACTGAACAATAATGCCATTGTTTAAATACTGATGTCCTGAGCAGCTTTTATAGGAAGCTTTACATTCTTTTATGGGATGAAAGGAACAATTTGTTTTACATACTTCCAGTTTTGCAAAAATCCAACAAGGATTATAGTTGCCTACTTGTATATTTTAATAATGCTACCATGTTTACAAAAAGGTTGTTTTGCCTCTTAACTTACAATTTTGTCCTATGGTTGTGTCTCAACTGTATTATAATTTGCTGTATTTTGGGGGATTTTCCAAGTGCAGGGCTTTTGAGGAAAGGAAGGGGAGTTCTATGTACTTCCAGGAATAAAGAGAGATCTTTGCCTGAAGTTGGCAAGTGTGTGTGTGTATGTGTATGTGTGCGTATGTGTGTGTGTGTGTATATATATACATATATATAGGGGGAAAGAGACAGCACAGTACTAAAGAATATGAAATTGTACTATTGTTCTGTAAAGAAGGTGAATAGAAATTATTGAAAAGCGTCAGAAGTATAGTATTGTATCTGTAACAATATTGTTCTTTGTAAACATTAAACTTGATGAACTCTATATATAAATATATATATACATATATATATAAAAAAAAACTGAGAGCCTGGAATGTTGATACTGCACACCTACTGAATGTAATTTTTCAGACTCTTGTCACAGGACTCTGCCCCCTTTCTCTATAATACAACGGCAGTGCTTTGGGGGATATGTTTTTTACTCTATTTTTTGTTGGCCTCTGTTTTGTTGTGATGTATTTCCGTGTGCTACATTCCTTTATTTAACAGAGTGCTAATGTCTGTAAAATTTACAACAATAAAACAAAACCAGACATACCAAAAAAAGGCATTACATATAGCCAAGACGTTGTTAATATTGATTTATGAATATTTCCTTCCCTTTCAGCTACTTCAGTGCTCCAAAATGCCATAAACTTTACTTCCATATTGCCTAGAGTACTTTCCAAGGTGCTTCTACACAGTCCTAAAACCCACACTGACGTGTGTTAAAATAACCCGCTTTGGTGCAGGTACATGTCCCCACGCACCCACCCAAACCCTGGGCTTTCCTGCGGAGTGGGGGTGGCTGCATACCAAATCAGGATGGCATGAAGCCACCCAATCCCCCCATCAATCCCTAAAACTTACAAAAAAGGTATCTAGCCACCAAAAAACCCCTCTTCACTTCTCCTGGTGAGAGAAAACGATGGCTGAGATGGAAGGAGTGGAGAAAATTCTCTCCTTGTCTGCCCCATTTCCTCGTGCGTCATTTTCTTGTGCCAGAAGGACACTAGGAAAGGATTTATGGTGACCAGGGACCTTTTTCATAAGTTTTAGGGGAAAATTGGGGGCTATGGGGAGCAGGTGGGCCCTCTTCCGCACCTTTGGGGTCCAGGAGCCAAAAGGTGTGGGATGGCTATGGGGCCTGATTCCCCTGGAGTCACAGAATGTTACCCCAGAAGTCAGTCTCCACAGGTTCAATACCCCATTCGACCTGGGCCTTTCAGGAAGGCCTGGATCTAATGAGGTATTTAATTAATTCAGAACAAACCAAGCAAACCTTGGTTTATTCCAAATTACTTTATTTTACTGACAGCTTTGTTTGGATGCCTCCGGTAAAAACCAAGAGAGATGCCGCATTTTGGGCCTGTCTGGATGGGACCTCAGTTTAATTCTCCTACCTTTGCAGGGAGCTGGCATTCATTTACCTTATGTTTTATCCGTATAGCATTGCCTGGAATTTAATGTTGAGGTTTTGGATAAGCAACCTCAAAATATATGTCCATAAGTGCAGATTCTAAAGCAAGAAGAGGAAAAATGTCCTAGTGAATTCATAATTTCAACAGATTTGCCTATATGAACAATTCTGGCAGAAGGATCCCTGGTACAAATTAGCACCTGAGTGGCAATATAATAATGGCCATTACAAAATTACTTAAAGGCGCTTGCCTTCATCTAAAAGTAGATTTTATGGATTTTTTTAAATTTTCAACTATTCTCTTTTTTTAAAAAAAAAAGTATGTAAAGCAATAGCAGATTAATTCTTCATAGTGCTAAACCCCTTTTTCTTCTCCTTCTTTCTTGAAGAGACATTTTTTTAAAAAAATGACATATCATTTTCTCTCTATTCAAGTTCTGTTTGTTCTGTTCTGTTCTGTTCTGTAAATAGACAGCTAAATTATGAGGATGGCCACAAAAAGAGGGAAACAAAAAGCTTGCAAAAGTTGTTGCAGTGCCTGCCGTTACTGAAGAACAAAGTACTTTATGTGAAGCACAAGAAACACCCTTTCATGCCAGTCAAATCAATGAAGAAACATGGGAAGTTACCTCTACCTGAAACATTTAAAGGAAGTATCTTTATTTTTGCAAATAGAAAATATTAATCGTAGTGAGGTCATAGCAGATTTTAAAGGCTTAAAGATTTTAAAGTTTCTGAGGGCCCTTCCACACATCCCTATATCCCAGAATATCAAGGCGGAAAATCCTATATTTTCTGCTTTGAACTGGAATATATAGCAGTGTGGACTCAGCCCAGTTCAAAGCAGATATTGTGGGATATTCTGCCTTGATATTCTGGGATATGGGGCTGTGTGGATGGACTCGAAGACTTCCAAAGCACACCGTGAGGAAAGGCTTGCTTTGAGAACCCAACACAAACAGGATGAACTGTATTCACTGTGTAATAGAAACTTAGGCAACTATAAAGCTTCATCTACACTGTAGAATTAAAGCTTTTTGACACCCCTTTATCTGCCATGGCTCAATGCTATGGACTCCTGGAAGTTGTAGTTTGCTGAGGCAGCAGCATTTTTTGGCAGACAGCTCCCAATACTTTGAGGGGTCCTCAAACTAAGGCCCGGGGGCCGAATACGGCCCTCCAAGGTCATTTACCCGGCCCTCACTCAGGGTCAACCTAAGCCTGAAACGACTTGAAAGCACACAACCACAACAACAAGAATCCTGTCTCAGCAGCCAAAAGCAGGCCCACACTTCCCACTGAAATACTAATAAGCTTATATTTGTTTCAATTGTTCTTTATTTTAATTGTATTGTATTTAAGGGGTTTTTTTTTTGCACTACAAATAAGGTAAGTGCAGTGTGCATAGGAATTCATTCATGTTCTTTTTTTTTTTTTCAAATTATAATCCAGCCCTCCAACAGTTTGAAGGACTGTGACCTGGCCCTCTGCTTAAAAAGTTTGTGGATCCCTGCTCTATAGCACTGAATCATGGCAATTAAAGTGGTATGAGACTGCATTATTTCTACAGCAGGCTTGCACAACCTGTGGCCCTCCAGGTGTTTTGGACTTCAGCTCCCAGAATTCCTGACAAGCTGGCTAAGATTTCTGAGAGTTGGAGTCCCAAATGTCTGGAGGGCCACAGGTTTTTAAGGCCTGTCCTACAGTGCAGATGCATTCTAACTTGATATTTCTGTGAACAAGCCACAGACTGCTGGGAAATGTTGCTCCTATGTAATTGCCTTTTCTTTCTCCCACCCTGGACACTCCAGAGATATATAAACCTCACTTGCCTAGTTTCCAACAGATCCCTCAACTTTTGAGAATGCCTGCCATAGATGTGGGTGAAACATCAGGAGAGAATGCTTCTGGAGCATGGCCATACAATCATGAAAATTCACAGCAATCCAGTGATTCCAACTATGAAAACCTTCAACAACACACTTTTTCAAAGTTCATTTTTGAAACCAATAATGCTCTCATTCCCATACAATAATGTCTTGACACACAAATGCAAGTGTTCATGTTTGAAAAAGCCATTAAGTATACTGTATAATTGGGGCAAATTTTCCAGGGCTTCCATATTGGCCATTCAGATGCTTTTAGGAGAAGGCTAATTCTGGAGCAGTAAGTGTGCACTAGAGCAGCTGTGCTCTGGCAAGCACTCAGGCTTGCATTCATTATAAGGGCAGCTTTCCTCTTTGATACAGAGCAACAAAGGATGTGGCTCTGCAGGGTTTGGAGCAGGTGAGAATGGCACTGACCCAAGCCTCAAGCAATATCTTTCACTTCAGTTTCTTTTAGAAAATGGACACATTTTGTAATTTTATATTATTTTATTTATATCCTGCCTTGTTCCCAGCACAAGACCCAAAGGAACAACTGACTGTTAGTGCAGCACCTTACCAAAAATGATAACTGGGCTTGTCACAAGTTTGAAGGGCACAGTCCCCCGTTTATTTCATGCTCCTTACTGAGAAAATGACACTGTATGTGGTTATCCAACTGAATAGCTGGGCCGCGGGCTGTGCTTTGATATCTAAAGAGTATAAAGTCCCATTGAAACCAAGAGAAGCAATGGTCTCTGCAGTAGGAGGGAGGGGGAAAATGCTTTAATTTCCATTAAGCCGCTAGATAAGAGCTAACTCATCTTTATAGAGCCTTTGAAAGACAAAGCACAAGGCAGGTCTTACAGTTATCACAAGTGAAACCACAGGCATCAGAGGCATAAAGCACTTACTCAATACGTCATAAATGTAAGTAGAAAGAATGATATTCTTTCATAAGCATCAATGTACACATAATGTCCTTCCATCCCAAAACAAAAAGTGCTCTTCAAATATACTAATTGCACCTGAATATCTGTATTTTTAACAACAATGTTGCATCAGAATATGCCAAAGTGTCCACAGGGGTAATGTCTCATGAGAAAATCCTCAAGTATTCTTTTCAAAAGCAGCAACAAGGAAGAAAGACACCTGAATTAATTATTTCCCCATTAACTTGGCTTTCACAAAGTGGTTTTTCTTGCTGAGTTCATGGCATCTGGTACAGCACTTCACAGCACGGTTTCCCGGACAACTCCAATAAGGCTGTGAGGCCGTTCAGACTCTGACCTCTGAGTTCTCCTCTCTAAAAGCCTGGTTTCTGCCGTCGTAAAAGTACTCACGTCGCCACAGCTCTCCAAATGCAGGAGTCCAGGGTGCTTTCTAAAAGGCAGTGTGTGTGCTCTTGCTGTTGATGGATGAGCAGGGGTCATTACCTTCACAGAGAAAAGAGGAAATTAAAAATAACACACCCTATTCCTTTTCTTGGGACATGTTCCAAGTCTTTTTTATATAAAAAAGAGAAGCAATCTGTTTTATAAAGAGCATATGAAGAAAACACCAAAAACTGGGGGGAAAATTCAAGCTGCATGTAAATTAAGCTACTGAACCCTTCTGGACATCTCTTTTTATTTGGTACTAGCATAGGTATGCCCTCATCATTGCCTCAATATGCATTTTCAGAATACAGGATTCTGTGTAGAATTGAATTATTACTTGGGTTTTGTCACCTTAAGGACTCCTTTCTCCCTTCTCCAGCTCGGTTCCATCCTTGCATGGCCCTCCTGAGAATGCCACCAATATAATGTCTCCATGGAAATGCTCTGGGTCTCCCTGGTGACATTCTAGCCAGGCCTGGGCAAACTTCGGCCCTCCAAGTGTGTTGGACTTCAACTTCAACAATTCCTAACAGGAAATAGATTTCGTGTATATGTCTTTAAACCACCTGTCAACTTCATTGTGAGCCCATGAATTTCATAAGATTTTCCTAGGCAATAAATATTCAAGAGGGGGTATTGCTAGTTTCTTCCTCTGAAATGTAGATAACAGCACCTGATACTCACTGGTAGTGCTAACCAGGGATGACCCTGAACTTCCAAAATCAGATGAAAAACCAAGGGAGCTGGCCTTCTACTATATTCCTTCTTCAGCCTGTTTGCCTTGTGCCCTTTGGCACTCCCCATTTGCTGCATTCAGAAAGCAGTGGAAGCCCCAAGGCAGGAGACATTGATTCTGATCTTACTTCAACATCTTGTTAAACTTCTTCTGACATTTCTGCAATCTTTTGTAACACTGATTTATGAGGAAAACCTTTTCCATACCTCCGGATGAAAAGAGGGGTTTACTGTGTAACTATTATTGCCATTTATCATCACTATACGCTTGTCCTGCTTTGCTGTCATATCCTCTTATGGGTTACGACTGGAAATTTGTTCTCTAATAAATTCAGAAATGCCAAGTGACTGAATGTAAACTCTTCATTAGTTCTGGGATGAGGGAGATATGTGTATAGAAAGTCATCTCTGAGGAGGAGAGAAACTTCTGTAAGTTTGATAGAGTTTTCCATCCCATTCAGCTCTGACTTTATGACCTGTATAGACAATTGCTTCCTTGGGTTGCTGTAAGTTTTTCAGGCTTTATGGCCATGTTCTACAACAGGGGTCCACAAACCTTTTAAGCAGAGGGCCAGGTCACAGTCCCTCAAACTGTTGGCGGGCCAGATTATAATTCGAAAAAAATACGAATGAATTCCTATGCACACTGCACATATCTTATTTATAGTGCAAAAGCATTTAAAAACAGTACAATAATTAAAATTAATAATAATTTTCACAAATATAAACTTATTCGTATTTCAATGGAAAGTGTGGGCCTGCTTTTGGCTGATGAGATAGAATTGTTGTTATTGTGTGCTTTCAAGTAGTTTCATACTTAGGTTGAACCTGAGCGAGGGCCAGGTAAACGACCTTGGAGAGCCGCATCTGGCCCCCGGCCCTTAGTTTGAGGACCTCTGTTCTAGAACATGGCCATACAGCCTGAAAAAACTTACAGCAACCCAGTGACCACAAAAGCCTTCGACAATAAATTGCTTCCTTCCCCATTTCCAGCACAAAGCCGAAACAAGCCAACAAACCTTGCAAAGGGTCATGTTTGGAGTTGAGCTTCACATCTAGAAGTACAGCTGCATCCTGGAAGCCAGAAATAACCACTTACAGTGAAGAAATATTTAGGGGGTCAACTACAATACCTGTTCCAGGAAGCTGGCACTGGTGATGGCTTCCTCCATGTGCTCTTCATCTGATTTCAAAACAGATTTTATGTCTTCCACTAGTTCATGGATGTCAGGGGCCATGCTGCATGAGGCCTGCTCCAGGAACTTTGCCACAAGTAGCTTTGTATCTATGTATGATTTGTAGTCCACCAAAGACCGAGGTCTGGAGCGCAAAGCCTTTGCTCTCACGCTCTTTCGCAAAATAACTGCAGCCAGTTCTGGCTTTATTTCTGTTTGGGTGGCAGCTTCACAGCTTAGCACTGGACCTGGAGACACAAAAAGGAAAATCTTGCTAGACCAGGCATGGGCAAACTTGGGCCCTCCCTCCAGTTGTTTTGGACTTCAACTCCCTCAATTCCTAACAGCCTCAGGCCCTTCCTTTCCTTTAAGTGGCTGAGGGGGGAAAGGAAGGGGGTTGAGGCTGTTAGGAATTGTGGGAGTTGAAATCCAAAACACCTGAAAGGCCAAAGTTTGCCATGCCTGTGCTAGAACATCTGGATAATTTCAAGGACCAAACACAGATGCAAACCTACATATATACTCACTCACACACACACAATGAACTAAAATACAATTATTGTCAGACTGGAGCAATTTTGTAAAAATGCACTGTTAGTTGAAATATGTTGCAGGCCTGTTTCTAGGATAAACAAGACAACTAAAAGATGCACATTACCAAATTAGGATACACATATAATTTTATAACAACTTTGCAAGGCACCTATCTGACTGCAAATTAATCCGTATAATGCAAATATGATTCCTCAATTTTGTGGTCTTTGAAAAAAAGTGTTACAGCAGGATCACTCACCTCTGGAGAGAAAGCCATGCAACACAGGGTCACTTTTAGATCGTTTCCTGAGAGGTTTGGGGGCTCCCTTGTGGCTTCCTGTAGGTGCCAAGCCTGGATCTGGATGCAATGTGGTCTCTGCAGCAGAAGAATTGAGACCATCTCCATCTAGTGTAAAAAGAAGCAAGAATAAGATAATTGGTCAGATAAAATACTCTCATTTCATGCCTTTTGGAGCTTTATAGGTCAGCACCAGCACCTTCAGCTGGGCTCAGAAACAAACTGGAAACCAAAAGATATGGCACAAATAATCTATACCTGAGAGTGATTTGGCTGCTGCCTTCTATGCCAGATGTAATTTCAAACATTTTCCAAAGGCAAACCCATATACAGGCATCAACACTCTTTTCAGCGATCTACTTTTTCAGTCCTTTGCAATTATAATCATAATTATAAATTATGCCATCATAAAACCCACCTTTAAGCATATTTCTTATCAGTTTTTAACTTTTCCCATTAAAACTTATACTACCAGCCCAGATTGGCCAGCCCGAAGCCAGCCCGGGTTGGAGTGGGTTTCCAACCAATTGTGTAGCCTGTTGTCGACCTTTGCAACACAAAAGACAGTTGCATCTGTCAAGTAGGAAAATAAGGTACCACCTTAAAGTGTGGGGAGGCTAAATTAACTAATTTATGAGGCCATTAAAAAAAAAGACTCTAGCAAAAGCATGCAGGGAATGCAGAAGTACTTCATCAGTGTCGCAGATGGACGATGAAAGCGACAGCTCCCCTGGCAGCCAGAAAAAGTTAAATAGCCTCTGTCTATGTCTGTATATGTTGTATGTCAAGACTGGCATTGAATGTTTGCCATATATGTGTACACTGTAATCCGCCCTGAGTCCCCTGCGGGGTGAGAAGGGCGGAATATAAAAGCAGTGAATAAATAAATAAATACACTTGGAGAGCCATCATCCTCAGGCTACGAGGGATACCCTAAGTAAGTAAAGTAAGTACATATACATCTACTACATCTTTTATTTAATTATACATATTTTATTTCATTATTATTATTATTATTATTATTATTATTATTATTATTATTATTCCTTTTCCCCCTCTTCCCCTTCGCCTTATTTTGTGCCCCCTTATTTATATTAAAAAAAACCCTTGTGTTCATCATTTTGACAATTTCCAGCTTTCAGCACTGCTCTGGTCCCCAACCTGTTGAACAAGTGGGAGATATCTCTATTTTAAAAATGGAGGAAAATGCATGAGAATAAAACAGCTTCTTTTCTTGGGATGGACCTCTAAGGGTGCACCTGTACTGTAGAATTAATGCAGTTCAACACTGCTTTAATTGCCATAGTTCAGTGCTATGGAATCAAGGGAGTTGTAGTTTTACAAGTTCTATTTCCTTCTCTCACCAAACTACATCTACTAGGATTCCACAGCATTGAGCCATGGCAATTAAAACGGCGTCAAACTGCATTAATTCTACTGTGCAGGTGCACCCTTAGTAGTATGGACTAAGAACCTGCCTAGCTATAATCAGATGTTTTATTCATGAGGTCAACTTATACAGGAGTATATACGATGTCTACCTTTTGACCATCATATCCTACCGTATATCCATATTTCATGGTTTGAAAAGGAGCCCCCAGTGGAGTAGTGGGTTAAACCCCTGTGCCAGCAGGACTGAAGATTGACAGGTTGCAGGTTCGAATCCGGGGAGAGCGTGGATGAGCTCCCTCTATCAACTCCATCTCCTCATGTGGGGACATGAGAGAAGCCCCCACAAGGATAATAAAATGTCAAAACATCTGGGCGTCCCCTGGGTGACGCCCTTGCAGACAGCCAATTCTCTCACACCAGAAGCAACTTGCAGTTTCTCAAGTCGCTCCTGACACGACAAAAAAAAAATGGTTTGAAAAAATTGAAGCGTGGTGTTTATTGGTAAATGTATTAAACGTGTGCTTTTTCACGGCAGTTTGGGAATGGTATTTTTAAAAGAAGGATTTTTTTCACATGATAGGCATGCCCATCAGGAAACTAAAAATGCAGATGCTCTTTCTCACAGGAATAAACCACCAGGCTTCCTGCCACAGAGGATCAGCTGCAACTAAAAACAGTGACTATTATTTTGACAGAAAATGATCCAGCTCCTTAGACTGCAGAAAATTCATTATCAGAAAGGAAGGACCCTCTTATATCTGCTAGGTTTACAGGACCCTACATTTAAAGAGACACAAACTCTCCACCAACACTCACATAAATAAGGATGCATTTATTTAGGAACACTGTAATGGTAGTTACATATGGCCATTTTTTTTTAAGTCCCAGAGAAACTAAAATATAAGTGTTAACTTTATTGTACAATTCAGAAGCTTTAGTTGGTGCAAAATTCAGCTACCAGAATACTTGTGAGGTCGTAATGTGCACATCAGCTATACTCTTTTCCCATTCAATTCCAAGCTGAATTCAAAGTACTGGTATTATATTTTAAAGTTCTTAATGGTTTGGCTTCAAATACTCAGAAGGACTACCTTTCCGCCCTTCAACCAAACTCCTTGGGCCTTAAGATTAGGTTTTTCTCACTGGCCCATTGCTCAAATTGTCAGTCTGGCAGCCCCCAGTGGCGCAGCAGTTTGAATCCAAGGAGTGCAGGTTGAGCTCCCTCTGTCAGCTCCAGCTCCCCATGCAGGGACACAATTCAAAGTGCTGGCTTTAGCCTATAAAGCCCTAAACTAGTGATTCTCAACCCCAGGTGTTTTGGCCTACAACTCCCATAAATCCCAGCTAGTTTCCCAGCTGTTGGGATTTCTGGGAGTTGAAGGTCAAAACATCTGGGGGCCCACAGGCTGAGAACCACTGCCCTAAATAGTTCCAGGACAGTTTACCTGTCTGAACATATCTCCACCTATGAACCACCTAGGAGATTAAGATCGTTGGGGAAGGCCCTGCTCTCAGTCCCGCCACCTTCGCAGGCGCATCTGGTGGGAATGAGAGACAGGGCCTTCTCAGTGGTAGTCCATCGACTGTGGAACTCCCTCCCTAGTGATATTAGAACAGCTCCCTCCCTCCTGGCTTTCAGAAGGAAAGTGAAAACCTGTCTCTAGGGTCAAGCCTTTGGAGATTAACTACAGTGCAATAATAACTATGAAATATGTGCAGTGCTTGGAACGGCCCCGGATTACAATTGTGGATGGCGTGATTTAAATGGCGATTATAATGTTTATATGTTTTAATGTGCATTTTAACTCTATTTTAAAATGCTTTTAACTTAAATGTATTTTATTGTCAGTTGTCTAAAGGCATCATTTAGTTATCATATGTAACGCTACCTTGAGTCCCCTTCAGGGTAGAGAAAGGTGGGATATAAATAGAGTAAATAAATAAATGAGAGAAGCCTCCCACAAAGGGAGGGGGGGCAGAACTGTGTTCAGGGTTGGGCCCAAACCTGCAACGTTTCTTTCTTGAAAACTCTGAGCAGTCTCTTCTCATGGGCCCGAAGCAATTTCTACAAGCCTATTCCACTCTAGCAGCTTATTTATTGATTTTATGGCTGGCCTCCTATCTGATGTAATTCTTATGCATTATTTATACTCTTGAACTCCCTTTTAACACTTTTACAGTAAGCTATCTTGTGAAGGCTTGCCCTAAAAAGGCAAAGTAGAAATGGAATAAAGAAAATGAACCATTTAACCTGACAGGAGTATTTTCCAAAGCCACTTTAGTCAATGCAAGACAGAATAATGAAAAGCTAGTTATAGCTCATTTATATTTACTCCCCACCGCCCAAAAAATTGCTTCTGGGAACTATGTTTAGAAATCCTGTTAGTGCAAGAGTCCCACTACTGACTAATCCAGAGCCAGTTTTAATGCTGTATACTGCAGTATGAAAATAATAGGCATCTCAAACATATCAGTTAATTCAGAAATACTAACAGTAAATATATAAAAGCCAGGAACTCCAGTTCTACATATCTGTCAAAATGAAGCAGCAACAAGGATTGGGGAAGAAAAAGTAAAGTTTTTTTTTTCGTGTTAGGAACGACTTGAGAAACTGCAAGTCACTTCTGGAGTGAGAGAATTGGCCATCTGCAGGGACGTTGCCCAGGGGATGCCCGGATGTTTTATTATCCTTGTGGGAGGCTTCTCTCATGTCTCCACATGGGGAGCTGGAGCTGACAGAGGGAGCTCATCCATGCTCTCCCTGGATTTGAACCACTGAGCTTTCAGTGAGCAGTCCTGCTAGCACAACGGTTTAACCCACTGCGCGATCGGGGACTCCAAAGTAAAGGTGACTTCCTTCTTCAAGAAATGAAGCAATAAAAGTGATTTAAGAAAAATATGAAGACTATGGTGGATCCATGATCATCTTCCCAGTGAAATAAACATTGGTTGGATTATTCTACCCTTAAAGAAAACGAAAAGGCAACTCTGCAGCTCAACTTCATACTGTTTGACTTAGAATTAAATTCAACTCTGAATTTATTTCTATGATCAAAAAGTATGAATTTATAATACTTGCTATTTGTTATCTTTAGCAGTTGTTTGCTGAAGTTACTCAACAGAAGAGCAGCAACTGCTTTTGGGAAGGGGGTTATTATTATCCAGTTGAAATAAAGTCTGGCTTAGGCGTCAAGAACCACTAGGCCCAGAATGTACTGGCTTTCTTCCAGAAGAAAGTCACGTTTCAGAGTTTTGTCCAGAGACAGGCAGACAGATTTAAAACCATGCCGCAACGACAGTTGGGCGATCAATACCGTTGCCAGGCACTGCCAAATAGACAGAGAGAATCAGCAGTTTCCTCTCCCGTCCTAAACACCCCTTTTTTCCTTTGCCACCCTCTTTTCTGACTGCATTAGCATTAAATGGAAGGAACACTTCTGTGAGTCAGCCCTAATCTATGTCTGCCTATTTTCGTCCATCTAGAGATACAGAGCAGTAAACACTGTAGTTAGCCTTTCACTGACTGGGTATGTTATTTCTGTACACCATGAAAAAGCATTTATTATACATGTAACTCAGAAGCCAATGCTTATTTGCAGGCACATCCTAACAGATCTTAGATAAAACACTGTTTAGGCAAAATAGGTTTTGTTTTTTTTTCTGTATCCTTGTCTGAAGTTCCATTTTAATCTAATGACAATTGTTTTGTGAAGTGTGGTTGGACAAACATGGCCACGTCTGCTGCTTCTGTCTGCCGTTTTCTACACACAGTGAGCAGAGAACAACTAAATTAATTCTCATTGACAGAATGCAGGGGGAATCTACATCAGCTGTGAACTAAATTATGCGGTTGGAGCACTTTACAAGAATGAACATGCGGTAGTAGGGAAATATGCCTTGCTTGTAGGTATTGTCCATACAAATTATGAGTTCTGCAAAATGGAAAGCAAGTAGAAATGCATTTTGCAGTGAAGCCAATAGTAGCAAATACTAAAATTCCTATAAAAACAAGAAAGAGCTTGCACATTTTCCCATATTCTTTTTAGGTTGCTCTGTACATCAGTGTGTGTGTATATGTATGTGTGTGTGTGTGCATACATGCATACAGGCCTGCAAGTCATCTGTGAATTTATGGCAACTCCATGAATTTCTTATGTATTTATTTGGAAAGGAATATTTACTCAGAGGAGGTTTTGCTAGTTTCATCCTCTGAAATATAGCCTGCAGCACCTTGGATTCCATGGCTGTTACCCATACAAGTACTAAACAACTGACCATGTTTAATTTCGAAGATCAGACAGGATATGATGCTTTTAGGGAATATTGCCTGGACAGAATCCCAACAGACATTATCTGCTTTGAATTGTATTATATTATATGAGTCTACACTGTATTATAATTCAGTTGAAAGCAGATAATCTGGATTTTATATAGCAGTGTAGAAGGGGCCTTGAAGCAAAGTTGGGGTAAAGCAAAAGAAGGCTGAATCCTCCTAGGAAGTAGCCATATGTCACTTGAACTGCCAATCTCATCTTCAGAATGAGTCTGCCCTTTTTGTTGGTGTAAATATGGCAAGAGAGAGGGAGAGATCACTTTTGAAAACTTCTAAACTATGGGAAATTGCCTCAATGAAATCCACTATCAGAGAAAAAGAACATGTATAATAGGAAAAGGAGGAGCTACTACACTGTTGTAAACAGTAGTAGGAAATACTTGTAACAGAACTGCACTAAAAACGATGATTGAAAATTGCAGGAATTCACCATCACATAACTTTGTAATTCATCATCAGTGCAATCGCAATCTTTACCTTGGGATACATGTGTATCATTTTGTCTTGATGAGCCATTACAATCTTCTGCGACATCTGAACTTTGAAGTGTACTTTCCTAAACAGAAAATTAACAGTGTTCAAATAAACTCAAATAATCAATAGAAAAATACGGTCATGCTTTATGATGGTTTATCCGTAACATAATAGAATCAATTCTCTGATCAACAGATACATTCGGCAGTTTCTCCATGTCTCAATAATATAAGAAATCTTTCCTTCATTCAAAATCCAGTACATAATAGAGTCAGCAAGCACGGCATATATGAGGTCATACTTTGAGAAGGGTATGAAAAGTCTGAATTCAATGACTAAAAAGGTTGCTACCTCTTCTGGTCTCAAATATGACAAGGAAGATTATCTTGTTAAGTTTGCTTTAGAGTTGCCATATGTCAGAAGCAACATGAAGCAGCTACAACTAAATTAAATTTTGGGATATCTCTATGTGCTGGAAGCAAAAAAATATAAATAAACACATTTTACATTTTTAGAACTTTCAGGTAGCAAATGAGTTTGTTTTAAAAAAAGAAGAAAGTCAATCATGACATCGGTTTCAAATGTAAAACATTTAGTTGACAAATATAAGAAAAAATGTGTCTGAGATGCATATAATCCAAATTGAAAAATATAATAATCTGAAATATGGAATTATTTATACTAACTCACTGGGAGAACACATTTAACAGATGTAATCCAAAGAACAATACCTGGTCCACATTCATCTGGCTCACCACAGCTTCGTAAGGAGGCGGGGGATCCAGTGGACAGAAAACCTCCACCCCTTTAATTCTGGCTCCATAAATATGTGGTAATGGAATGACATCAGAATCCAGCATCCTAAGAGAAAGAGAAATCCCTATGTAAGATGCTCCCAGAAAATTCAGAGATTAAAGCAACAAATTTAATTTTGAGTGTGTTGGGGAGAAAAAGCTAACTTTATACATTCTTTCAGCAATCAGAACAAGGATTTTTTTAAAAGTGGGAACTACTCTTTTTGAACAAAGAAGTATTTTATTTATTGTATGAGAAGCAAGTTGAGGGTACAGTTAAAATGCATGTGAAAACACAAACAAAGTTTTAAAAACTTGGCATTATGCTAAATGTCCTTTGACCAGAAGCTGGCCACTTGGGAGTGCCTCTGGTTTTGCTGTGAGATGGTCCTCCATTGTGCATGTGACAGGGCTCAGACTGCATTGTAGTAGGTGGTCTGTGGTTTGCTCTTCTCCGCACTCGCATGTCATGGGCTCCACTTTGTAGCCCCATTTCTTAAGGTTAGCTCTACATCTCATGGTGCCAGAGCGCAGTCTGTTCAGCACCTTGCAGGTCGCCCAATCTTCTGTGTGTCCAGGAGGGAGTTCCTCATCTAATCTCAGACACTGATTAAGGTGCTGGGTTTTACCCTGTGTCAAATCCTGCTTTGAATCATGTCCTGACAACCTGCTACTTTTGGATTCTTGTTTGCTGAGGTGTTCCTGCGGGTATCTCTCTTGGTTTTAGGAAACTGTTTCTTGATTTAAGGTGTTGCCATGCTGGTTGATATACAAACAGAGGATGGGCCAGAGATGTCACTGCCTTGGTCCTTTCATGATTGGCTGCTCCTTCTTGACGGATGTCAGGTGATGCAATACTAGCTAAACAGTATAATTTCTCCAGTGGTGAGGGGCATAGACATCCTATGATAATGCGGCATGTCTCATTAAGAACCACATCCACTGTGACATGTGTAGTCAGCATTAGAATAGCAAAGAGCAAGGGCAGATGTCTTCGCTGTACCTGGTTGTGATCCCCAGGTTGTGCCAGTCAGCTTTTGTAGGATATTATTTCTAGCACCAATTTTTTGCTTGATATTCAAGCAATGCACAATCCAGAGTGACTCCCAGGTATTTTGGTGTGCTGCAATGCTTCCCAGGTAATCCTCAGAGCTCAAGATGTTTAAGAGAAGCTTCCCTGCAGCATCGTAACACATCCGGGCGTCCCCTGGGCAAGGTCTTTGTAGACAAACTGATTCTCTCACACCCGAAGTGACTTGCAGCATGCAACCAACCAACAAAGAAGTACATCAATGTAGATAGATACTGAATTTTATTAAAACATAACTGACTCAAAATTTCATGTCCATTCCCCACTAAATTAGTGTGCTGGAAGAAACAATCCTAAATACCTTAACATATGAATTGATGAATTGATGAGCATAGATATACACATATGCATATACAAATGAAAAACACTTTTTTAATTTCAAGGAACCGACACAATACACATCTAGCAGAGCCCCAGTAGGGCAGGACTTTCCAATTTAGCCCGCTGACACATAAAAAGAGTCATCTCTGCTGGCACACAGCTAATTCTAGATCAGGTAATGTCAGAACCCAGAGCAGTATGGTAATCATGAAATATTCATAAAGGCTATTTCTGACATCCTGAGGCCGGTTAGCTATGAATACATTCTAGGTTTTCTTCTGTAAAATGCAAACCATGTTACCGCTCCATTTTTATGTGCCAACTGTGTTTCATTAATGTCAGTTTTGATTGCATGTGATTATCTCTGCCTTTAACAGTTCCTACTATATATTCCTTCTCTGTTTGTCAATACACGAAGTAAATACTATGATAAATGACTCTCAGAGTAAGTATTTCCCAGGAGGCTTTGATGACCAGTTTTTCAATTTAATACATTGCACATGTGTCCCGAATCAACTGGGTATTTGGAAAGAAGCACCTTATCAAATAAGACACTGATTAATGCATCTAAGATGGCA